AACACATGTTTCCCAAAAGCAAATAGATAAAATAAACTACTTAGCATATTTTAATTAATATTTAAAGAATGTTGTAGGTATCCATTAGTAGAAGACCTTTTCTAAGACATATTAAGGCTTAGTAAGTGTTATCAAAATTGATATGGGCACTGCCTTTATAATCTCATTCCATAATTGGTGCAATTTATGCTTTGATGTGCATTTTTGGTAGTTAAAGATATAGTCTCTGTAGGGGTATTTTTTTCAATATATGAAATTTATTGTCGAATTGGTTTCCATACAACACCCAGTGCTCATCCCAAAAGGTGCCCTCCTCAATACCCGTCACTCGCCCTCCCCTCCCTCCCACCCCCCAGGGGTATTTTTTAATATAAGTGTCATTATGCATGCTAGTCATAGTAATTTATGAGATCACCTATTGGGGATTATTTGGAAGTACAGGATTATATTATAAGTAAAGGTAGTGAGTCTATGGTGTTGAACATAACTCAGTGCTACCGAAGGTGGAAAGGATCCTATTAATTTATATAATGAAAAGTAGAATCCTGTATTCACTTTTTGGGTCTTATTTCTCCATCAAATGGCAATAATAAATATTGGAACTAACATTGCTTCAAATAATATATAGAACAGGATAAATTTTGTGTTAGTGAATGTTGGATTAAAATTATTTGAACTGAAACAAACACTGAAATATAGCATTATTGGAGGTGATTTCAGGCACTTTATTTATTAAAGTTTACTTATTTTGAGAGAGAGTGAGCAGGGGAGGGGCAGAGAGAGAGAGAGAGAGAGAGAGAGAGAGAGAGAGAGAGAGAGAATCCCAAGCAGGCTTCACACTGTCAGTGCAAAGCCTGATGATGGGCTCGAACTCACAAGCTGCGAGATCATGACCAGAGCCAAAATCAAGAGTCAGATGCTTAACTGACTGAGCCATCCAGGCACCCAACAGGCACTTAAGATAGGTGAACTTGGCAACAACTATTATTAATGGGGATAATCAGCTTGTATCTACTGCCAAGGGTGTAGATAGTGAGGTTTTAGGAGATAGTTACTTCAGATTTTATTTGTTTTGAAGCACCATATTTAAGGTAGGAAAGTAAGTTTTTTTTTTTAATTTTTTTCAACGTTTTTATTTATTTTTGGGACAGAGAGAGACAGAGCATGAACGGGGGAGGGGCAGAGAGAAAGGGAGACACAGAATCGGAAACAGGCTCCAGGCTCCGAGCCACCAGCCCAGAGCCCGACGCGGGGCTCGAACTCACGGACCGCGAGATCGTGACCTGGCTGAAGTCGGACGCTTAACCGACTGCGCCACCCAGGCGCCCCTAGGAAAGTAAGTTTTAAAGTTGATATGGATTGAGAATTTTGACATTAAAATAAAATGCATTTGTCTACAATTCTTAAAAGGAGTGCTAAGCATTTAGTTCTAATAAAGCATTATAATAAATAAAAAATGATATTATGCCCACTAAAATTGTAGTGAAGTTATCATATAGCATAAGTTAAAAAACTTAGAAGGGCTATTATGAATGTGACTGAGAGGTTTCTATTGATAGAGGTGTTAGGTAATTATGGTAAAACCCATAATCTAGGGTGTCAGAGTTACTTGTTTTTTGGTTAGACTAATTTTACTTTTATAAGACTTTTAAAAATTCATTTGTAGGCTAAATCTGTGACTCATAGCTTTTATTTTATTTTTATTTATTTTTATTTTATTTATTTTATTTATTTACTTCATTTCTCTGTTGATAGACTGGGAAGTCCAAGGCAGTGTTAGTAACAATAAAATTTTAGGGTAAAATAGTAACAATTTGATTGATCGGGAAAGCATTTCATTGTAAACTACAAGTGGACAGTTGTAGATTTTCACAACCAAGTTCACATGTTCTTGATTTTTCTGTATATAGGTAGTAATTGTAGTAATCAGAATGTGAAATTACTAATTACAGAGGTGAATGATGTTAAATAGACATGACACTAGGGGCGCTTGGGTGGCTCAGCCGGTTAAGCATCCGACTTCCGCTCAGGTCATGATCTCTCGGTTTTTGAGTTTGAGCTCCGCATTGGGCTGGGTACTGACAGCTCAGAGCCTGGAGACTACTTCAGACTCTGTGTCTCCTCCTCTCACTTCCCCTTCCATGCTCATGCTCTGTCTCTCTCTGTCTCTCAATAGTAATAAATAAACGTTAAAAAAAAATAGACGTGACACTATTGGATCGATTGTTCTTTGCTGTGTTTAATGCAAAGCTAAGATTCAGAGTTAGTTGTACTAAATTAGTACAAGAATAGGATCAGTATCAATACATTATTATATAAAGACAGAGACCAATCAGAAGGGTCAGAATTAGGGTCACTTTCAAAAGTGAAGTGATCAGATGTAAAATAAAGCTTTACCTGGCATAGAACACGTGATTGTGAACACTTGACCAGTAATTACACACCTTCCTTGAAATCCATGTTTATAACTAGTAGTGAGTCATAGATGCTGTTACAATTTGTGTATGATGTTTTGTAATAATTCTAATATCAAAATCTAGGATGATGTTGATAAATAGTGTTTATAAGATATTTTTTAAATTTTATTTCCTTTAGACTGTGGAGGCTCAGGTGATAGACACCCCGGCAGCTAAAGAGATAAAAATATATTAAGACATGACACTACTAATGGGCTTAGCATTATTATGAAGAAAATTATTATTAAGGCAGGGGCAATAATAATCAATTATACTCACTTATAAATCTAAGCATCTCCTAATCAAAACCCTCACTGATTAAGGTCAGCCTGAATTAGCTGTCTCTTTCATTAGTTGTCTTTACTATTCTATTCTAGCTTAAAAACCAAGTAGTCAATATAGTGACCCCTTTGTGATGTGTTGAGTACAGTCAAAAGTAGATAGAAGTCTATGTAAGATGGCTAAGAATAAGCTTTATACCACAAATATAAGGGCAGAAGAGAATTATTCATTTCACCAAGCTGGGAGGTAGAACTTCCATACTGAGTTTCAAGAAGCAGCTAAATAAAATTTGGGTGGGCTGCTTCTGCCACTCTTCCCAAAAGTAAGAAGTAGATCAAAGCCTGTTATTTAGGGAAGGTAGTTGTTAATGTAAAGGGCACAGGTGTGTATATGTGTAGTTATTATTAAATATAACAGAATAATTGCCAATGTGACCTCGTGTGGAATTTGGGTTGTGTTCACACAGCTCCAGTTAGAGGGCACGCTCTGAGCTTAACTGTCTACACAGCTAAGCTTCATGCATACAAATGGTAGTTTGAGGTTTAATCCTATTAGTGGATATGATCTTAGTGTGGACGCTCACACTTGTTTAAGCGAGGTCAGGACAATAATAGGTGCAATAATCCATATTAGTATTGGTAAAGTTAGAAGTTGAAATTGTTCTTTGAGATATCATTGTATGGCATCTGCAAGTGGTTGAAGTCCATATGGATTACTTTATTTATTTATTTTTGAAATTCAGCATGACCTAAATCTTTTGGTTAAGCATTAAGAAGGCCAAGGCTAATGGGGTAATTAATAATTGCAAAGGAATTAGCAGCATGCTTGTTGAAATAAAAAAGTTGAGCCCCTGCAAATAAAGTTTTCAATTCATGTTATTACTGGATATATATATGTGTATACACACACACACACACACACACACACACACACACACACATATATATATATCTTATATATAAATCTATTTAGTATCAGACCCTTTTGCAGAATAGACCTTATTTGTCAAGTCCTTTCATACTATGAGGTATCTTTATATGAAGAGACACCAAAAGGAACTTCTCTGGTTTGAACTCAGGCCACACAGAATTCTAATGATGGAACAAAAGAACCTTTTTAATGGAAGTTACATCCTAAGCATATCTGCATGCAACAATAAAGCCATAATTTTAACATCAATTTGACCTCTAAAACAGGATTTCATTGTTTCCACTTTAGAAATCTGTTCTATTGATACAAATTTTGGTTCAACTCATGATGGTTATGTATTTTGAGTGATTAGTCTAGATTTGATCATTTGCTGGCTTTTCTATGCTCTGAGGTCACTCAACCCAAATAATTAATTCAGAGAATGATTCCTTAATTTCTTAGATAACTAGTTTTCATATTCAATTAATACTTTTAAGTTTTATGGGTTCCTTTAGCAAATAGAAGGAAGATTTAATGTTCATTTACTTTAACTTTTTATCTTCTCTTACCACATTTATGTTTCAGATTTACAGTATGTTAAATTAATATATTAAAAATGTTTTCTATCTATTCTCTATCAATGGCTCATCCATTTTGATAAGGGATTATCCAAAGCAGCATTTATTACTTACATTTTTCTCTGCATGTATAGGTTAATCCATTATGGTAATAAGAGATGGTTTTGCTTATAGGTACTTAGTTATGGTTGAGCTGGAATGCATTTGTAATTGGGGTTGCCCTTAAGCCAATTATAATTTTACAAGTAATTACACTCGAGGAAGATTTTATCCTATTTCAGATGATCTCTATATCTTCTGCTTAACATTTAATTTACATTAGGATTGATTCTTCTTAAGGTAAATCCAAAGTTGAACTTAAATTCTGCTTTGGATAATGAACGGTCACCTGGCCAAGTTTTTTTTTTGTTTTTTTTTTTTTTTGTTTTTGTTTTTTTACCTCTATCTGAAAATCCTTCTTATTATTTATTTAGTCATGGAGAAGAATTTCTCCTTATTAACTGTTTACAGGTAGCTCGTACACTATGTTTTCAGTTAACGTTTATGATTTATTGTTCAAAGTTTGTCTCTTTTTTTATTATGTTCTAGCTAGTTCATTATACAAAGTATAAGGTTTAATCCTTCCTCCTTTTTGGGGGATGGCGGTGTTTGAAACTTTAGCGGGAAAAAATAGAATATCAAGCTCAGGAACACTGTATGTTCAGTGTGTCACTGGATCAAAGACTGGGGTACATGGCAGCACCAGCAAACAAAATATACATAGAGATCCGCAGGGTCACAGGATGAAAACCGCTACGTGGCACAAGTAAGTCTGGGCGCCTTCCGCATTCAGCAGCATATTGGGGATCCCACCGGTGTGGCGGAACAGACGTCCGCCCTCGGGACTTTGCAAAGTGCCCTCTGACACATCCCCTTCCAGCAGCGAGTGGTGCATCTTCTTAGAAATTCTTCATCATGCTCCTTCCTTGAATCGGCCTTTCGGGCACTTCAACCAGAAGCAAGGTAGTGGCCACCTCCAGGAGCGCTGCCCGCTCCACCTCGGGTATCATACAGGACACGAAGTCAAGGTCGAACTGCGCAGGGTTCGACCCGCCTCAGGTCGAACTGTCGAACTGCCTCAGACCTCGGTGGCCTGGAGGCTCGGGGGAGGGGGGCTGTGGGCGGGGGGTCCCTGAGCCCCACTCCCAACACCGGCACGCTCAGCAGGTGGTGAAAGAGCATCTTTCTGCCCCCGGGGAACAAGGGGCCCAGCGCTCTGCCCGTCTTGCTCCCAGGCAGTGCTACACACTGTCATTGTGTTAACCATGCATTAAACCAACCATTGTATTACCCAGTTATTGTATGAAATTTTTAGACTACTATTACTTATTTAATTCATATTATGTTTGGAGTTCTGTTTGAAGAAGGTGAGCTATGTGCACACGTCAAAGCCTGATTCAGTTGGGTTTTTTATTGTTAATTTACTTTTAACTGCTTGGCTCCCCAAAGGTTCTATTAATGGACTAAGAGGACGTAGCTCATTTTATATATACTGAGCTAACATTGTTGCAGTAATTCTTGTTTTTATTTCATCACTCCTGAGAGTTTGCTGAAATGGTACTATACTGGCTAAATTAACAAGTGGATATGAAGATTTATTGATTATGGAACAGGATTCTTTAGAGGATTTTAAAGCATTACAGTATTTTGGATTTTAAGCTACTGCTGGTAGTACTTTGGTGAACTTAAAAACATATATATATGAATATATCAATATATTTATGAATATATGCATAGATATGAATATATGTATATGTATATTTAACATTGTATATCCTAATACATTTCTCCCAGTTGTTAGAATTCATGGGGATGCTTTCTTTATATAGTTCCAGAATACTTTGTTTTGACGTATCTTTAGAGAATTTGATTTCAAAGTCAAGATTAGTTTTTTTAATCTTATCTATAGAATAGTTGAATTGGGAAAATCATTTTCTTTTTAAATACATCTTTGACAAAGACACATGAATAAACATATATTATTAAATATATTATTAAACCCTTGGAAATCCAAATAAATAACTTTTATTTTTATTTTTATTTTATTTATTTATTTTTTTTTAATTTTTTTTTCAACGTTTGTTTATTTTTGGGACAGAGAGAGACAGAGCATGAACGGGGGAGGGGCAGAGAGAGAGGGAGACACAGAATCGGAAACAGGCTCCAGGCTCTGAGCCATCAGCCCAGAGACCTACGCGGGGCTCGAACTCACGGACCGCAAGATCGTGACCTGGCTGAAGTCGGACGCTTAACCGACTGCGCCACCCAGGCACCCCTATTTTTATTTTTTTAATAATAATAAATAACTTTTAGATTCATTGGTTGCATATCTATCCCTAGGAAAATGAGAATCTCTATGTTGTTGGTGTATTACCATTTTTTCAAGGTGGTAGCCTTGAATACAATAATCTTATTCTCATTTTGAAACTGGGAAGAAGAATAAGATGGCTTGTGAATGGATTAGTGAATGGACAATTTATTTCACTTAATTTTATATTGTTTCGTTTGTTTTAAAAAAGACAGTGCTATTACATTTATGTAGTTCTTCCATATGTTAACTCATACACACATGCACATGAGAGGAGGAAAATAATCCTAAGGGGTAAGTAGGAGGAAGTCCTGGAAAAAGTACAATTGGAGTTTCTCAAGCTCTGAGAAATGCTTCCGTCAAGACTCATAAACTATGAATAGCACATGTCTTTCAGGGGGCTGCACAGTGTTGGGTAAATGAGGAGGCAGAACTTGGCATGGGTGGTGAGAAAGTGGAAAATGACCTTAGCAGCTCCCTGAAAGCTGACAGCTTGGCGGTAACATTCCACAGAAAACATAAAAAAACTTTTCAGAATAGAATCAGTACTTGGAGAAGCCCACTCTGTGGCTGCAAATGAGTAAGACAGAGGAAAGGATACTTTGCAACCACGAAAGTTAATGAAACACCCTGTTCTTCAGGAAAGCATGCATGAGTGCGGTTTCTTTACCAGTGACAAGTCTATCTCCACTTTGAACTCCCTGCCTCCTAGATATATAAAAAAATATATAGATTGATAGATGATAGACAGAGAGAGAGAGAGAGAGAGAGAGATTAGATAGATACCCAGTCATTGATTTCTTTGTGTTGTCTGACGGCATCCCACTCTGAATTATCCACGTCTCTAAATCCTACCTAGAATCTCTGGCACATGTGCAAATACGATAATAAGCTCCTTCTAACTCCCTTTTACAGAAACACTCCAGTGTTCCTCTGATGTGTGTTCTCCCTTGTAGCAAGAAGCTAAATAACCCCTATGTGTTTGGTGAGAGATGTGTGGTGATCGTTGGTTGGGAAGCTTTGACAGTCATGGCAGGAGATGATCCCATGCTGGACTGAGATCCTAAAGGCATACTAGAATGCCGATAAAATGGCCCTTCATCTTGTCTGCCATTGATGGTAGCTGGAAGATGTAACACACAAGAGAGAGCATTTCAGAATTGTTTAAAACATCATTTTGGTGGTGGTTCAAAGGATACATTGGAATAGGAGCAGGACGGAAAGGAGATAATTTGGGTTGCAGTATTGGCAACCCAGACAAGAGGTGTCTAGTGTGTCTAGTGTGAATATAAAGATATAAAGAATTAGAGAGGAAAATTCCAGGGCATGGTAACTGATTCCAGTGATGACATTTACTGAAAAGCAGTGTAGAAGAAACAGTTTTGGGGAGACTCAAATGATTTGTGGTTTAGGGGTTCCTTTTGAGATTATAGTTTTATAGCCCAGGAGGCAACTCAATCTTTTGATTTGAAACTCAGGAGAGATATTTGGGTTGGAATACAGATTTGGTTGCTACCAGCAGGTAGATGACAATAACAGCCATTTAATTTTTACAGGACATTTCGTTATGTCCTATACTGGATGAACCCTAAAGGCTCTACTATTCTAGTTTTTCTCTCTCCTTCTAGTGACAAATTGAAGCACTCAACTGTAAAACACCAAGTAAAATTGAGTGGGATAATTTGTACCTGCTTTAAGAAGGCAAGTAAACTAGATTCAGGCAACTCATAAATACAGTTTGGCTAGGAGGTAGGGTAATAAACATTCTCTCCAGTTCATGAATCTAGATTGTCAAGCAGGAAAGACTTTAGGGAAAGCATTGCTCAGCTAATTGCTCAGGTCCAACCATACCCATGACAATGGAGGGGATCACACAAATAGATGTGTTAGTGGAGGATTTCTCTTACAAGTGGTCTAGTCCTTTTTCCTTTTCCATGGGGAGATTATATATATGAACGAAGGATAGCAGTATCAGTAGGGAAGAGAAGCATGGTATTCTCTAGCCAGAGGATTTTCAGTAATTATTCATCTCCACATTCATTCTAGTCTAAAGGATTTTTTCAGACAGTCAAAATCTTGAAGAGTATTTGGATCCTTATAGAACATTCTTAGTCCATGATTAGGTAAAGCCTTTGTATAGCAGAGTTTTGTTTTGTCCCCAGTAGCTGTAGTCTGTGCAGATTTACTGTTTGATCTCACCCTTATCACCCTTATTTATTTGGAAGACAGCTTTGGAAGACATGAGAGTATATTGTAGGTCTAACAATATCAGACATTCATGCAGTAGACACCGTGTTACATACTTACATGTATTATCATGTTGTATTGATTTGTCAGCACAACCTCATGAGTTAGTGAACAATTTCATCCTAATTTTAGGGTTGAAACAACTGAGATTTGGAAAAAAAAAGTCTATTATAATATAATTAGTAGGTATTGGAATTGTCTCTAGAGTTAGAAGTCTTAAGTTTTACATTTACATAATAGAAAATTAGTGCATTGTCTTCTGATGAGGAAAAATATGTCACCGACCTAATCATTATATTGCCCTTGTTTGATAGCAATGCTTATCTAATTTGCTTCTATTTTTTGATTGGTTCAAAATATAATCGCTGCCAAATTGTATATCGGATATAAATTAGTCTCTTAACATTTTACATAATGTGGCTTCAGTTTCTCACTGAGTGCACAATAATCCTCTTCTCCCTTTAATCTTCTCTAAAAATTGAAAAGTTCTTTTATTATATTTTATAATCACTCTGTCTTTTAAGTATGTTCTCTTGAAAGACAGAAGGCTCTACCATGGATGTATTGATGTTTTCCTTTTCTACTGTTTGTTTGCTTTTAACCCCTATTGTGTGAAGAGAGTTCTCTTTGATCTGTCAGCCCCCCTGCCAATTTTTCCTTTTGGTATCCTGTCTGTGAACCTTCGTGTGCTGACTGAAAGCACAGTTTCTTGGATTCTACATTATATGAACTGAATCAGAGTCTCTAGGGATGAGGTGTATAAAGCTCAAGGGTTTTTATCAAGGATCCTATTTAAGTCTTATCAAGGATCCTAAGTAAGACTTATACATACTATAGTTTGACAAGCACAGTTCTAGGGAGAGGTGATTGGACATAATTTTCTAGATTTTTATTTTTACCCTGCTAATCTTTAACTATATGATGAAAATACAAAATTTATTTTTATTTCCTCTGAAACTGCAGATAATACATTATCATTCTATACTCCTTATAAGTTTTGCAATATCACATAATTAGTATATTAGTATAATCACACATATAAAACTCAAGTGTGTAAAGATTCATTTATTTAACATGTGGTTCAGTGTTGGAATTTGCAAACATGAATTAACACCAAATTCTACCCCTGAAATCAATATTACACACTATGTTAACTAACTTGAATTTAAATAAAATCTTGGAAGAACAAAACCAGACATTTTTAAAGAAGAACAAAGACTCACAGCTGTGGACACAGAGAATAAAAATTTTATTCTGAAAGGAAGAAGAAGGGACAAGGGAGATCTTACCATATCATTGGAAAAGGTTAGAAATTTTCCTTATTTCACAGCTAGCATGGCTGAAAGAGGGAAGGTAACACTATTGTATAAGCTAAAGACATCATGATTCAGTTTATCAGTTATCTTAGAAGAAAAAAAAACTAAATGATTAGTCTTGCCACTTTCAAAACTGCTGTAAACATAAAATTGCTTAGGGTGAATAAACTGAATATAAAAAGATGGACTGGTTTTGAATTATGGTTAGGTAAGGGAATAGAAGGGACATGGGGGTAATAAGGCAGGAAATGGAAGCCATAGGGGCAGAAAATAAGAGGGCAGATCTAGGGAGGTTTATGAATTGACAATCATAGCAAATTAGTAAGGTTTATGTATCAGTGGGGAAATGCTGCAGGGGAAAGAATGCAAAAATCTTAGACCGCT